GGAATAAAGAGATTACCAGCAGATTTAACACCAAAAGCTCAGCCTTCATCATCAGGCCTGTCTTGTCTCGTCTTGTCCAAAAATAACTCCTGATGCTGGCCAACTTTCTCCTGAATCTCCCACAGCGCCGCCCGGCCTCATAATAATGAATAATGTTCCTGGAAATGTAATCTGTTTTCATATGTTTAGCTTTGCTTGTATCTCTTTGCAGTGCAATTTCAGCAGCTTGCTGGAGGCAGGGCAATTTTGTCCGCAGCTAATAAAAGCTGAAATTGAAATCTGAAATTTGGTTTGAATCAAAGGTTAAAGATTTCCCTGCATTTCCATCTCTGGTGCATCTCGGCAGTCTCTCCTATTTCTATATTGTACATATTTGTATCAAAACAGAGCACACAACCACAGGGTCATTACCGAGGTGAGTTTCTCAGACGTGGCCAAATGATAGACGATATCCTACATAAGATTACCCTAATATAATTGATTATTAGGTTATCCTTATCATATACAGTGGCTAAATAAAGACTGCAGTAGGGTATAGGGTATATATATATACAATCTGGTTATGTTCAGATTGTACATTGCACTTATGAGACCTCATTGAGAATATTCTGCGCGATTCTGGTCATCACACCAAGGCTGCTGGAACATTTCTGCTCAGGATTGCGTGAGGCTTTGAGTGCAACTCATGAAGACAGGGAGAAAGCATGGTCTTGCCTAGGCCTTTTGTGCAGGAAGCAAAAAAATATCAAGAATGTCACGCTGTTTAAATGGAAAGAAACAGTCTGGACAAAACTTTGTGTACAATACCCAGCTAATAGCAGTATCCTCACATGTCACCTTAGCATTCTTCAGAGCAACTATGTGCTCTGGGCTTTATAATCCAACAGTGTAATATGATTATTATAGCAGAATTGTCATGGAATTATTTTTTTTAGAAGAAATGCTTCTCCCCATTTGTAAACTGCTACAGTATAAACACATGATTTAATGTATGCATTTATATAAGAAGGAAATACATATCAATTAGATCTTGTCGTTCACTGTGCTGAAGAGCCAAATGGCTGCTTAATATAATATAATATATATAATATATGCTTAATATAGACTTAATATTCACAAAAGGTGGGATAAAAAGCCTGTTTAGACAGTTTCACCCTGCTCAGAGCTATGAGATGGGCCCATAATTCATAGTGGCATCATGCTCTTAACACATCACAAACCTGAATGGTGATCCTTGTTCGAGATGTGAATATTAGCCAGTACCAAATGTTTTTAAGTATTAACAACAGATTACTTTCTAAATATGTACGTTTTTACTGTTTTTTGAGACATACAGTACTTGTGCTGGGATCTTTACAGAGGGACAGTATGAGATCATCAAGGAGAAAGAGCGGAGAGTTCAGAAACATTTCTCCATGCATGTGAAGTGGAAGAATAACAGCCCAAGTCAGGCAGCTTTGTATTTCTGTAATGGCCTTGTGTTTTATCATGGGCTTAAGCTGTGAATTATCAGTTCACTGTTGCTCACCGAGTCTTTTTCTGCATGCTAATACTTGGATAATTCTTGGATAAGAACTTCACCACTGACCACTCAGTGTGAGCTGTGCAGCCTGAGCAACAGCGCCACCTTCTGGCCACAGCGTCGGCTGCCTCTCGCGTTCATCCGCCTCACGGCTCGCAGCTGGAGGTGTCCCCCAGCCTGAGATTCCCCTCCTCTCTCCTTTCTCCTGTCGCCAGCGAGTCTTCTTTGTGACCTATCTCATCTCTTGGGTTCAGTGACAGGTTGACGTTGCTGGGATTGTTTAGTGGGAAGTGCTGCTCAGTTTTGCCAGCTGACAAAGGGGCAGATCCTCCTGTTAAAGTGTGCATCGGATGAGTTCAGTAAAGGATAGCTCTGGTTGTTTTTTTGCAAAAGAAGGATTCTTCAGTGAAGTAACATTGAGGAAGGGCGTAAGTCGTAAACCAAAAACCCTGCAGACCGAGTCCTAAACAGTGGTTTTACATACAGTATATATGCCATTTAACAAGCAGAACAAATCATGCACGTAATGTGGTACATTTAGTGTTGTGTCTACGAGAGCAAAGGACTTCCTACCAGTTAAGGGATAACATAGTCCTAATCATATTATTACATACTGTACCGTACAAGGATTTATTTAAGCTCTTCAAAAGGTACAGGCTTGTTGTTTGTCATGAGAATGAGTATGTTAACAGACAGCCATCATGTTGAAGTTGGAATATGTTGACGCTACTGTATACTGTGATATTGACAGAGCTATAAAGAGGCTGCTAGGCATGTATCTGCAGTATCCTCCATCTTCCAGATGAGACACGAGAAGCAAGAGGCGATTCCAGGACCGCTTGACAGTCCAAGGCAGAGCAAGAGGAAGTGTTTCTTTTCGAGCAAGGCAGCCTTTTTCAAGGCCCAACAGGGACGAGCTGTTTAATTAAAGGCTGAGCCGTCACACCGTCCGCGGCCCCGAATTCAGTCTCATTCCACTCTGCCTGTGTGAGAGAAGTGAAAATGAAACGTTGGCCGGTCCCATGTTTCAGACTCAACCTGGGGAATAGCTGAACTGTCAGGCAACATGAAACTATGAGATATTCTGGTGCACTACTGAAATAAAATAATCTGCGCAGGCGGTACAGTTATTAAAGGAATAATTTAAAGGACAACTAACTCTCTGGTTATCAAGGAAGATGTTTTTCTTCCAAAAATAAGTACTAGACAAACCCCAAAGGAAGCATTTCTATTTTGGATTTTATTCTTGCAAGGCCTTAGGTGATATTACTGGTTGGATTTTGAGCCAAATGCAATGGGTTTTGGCCTTTTGAAGCCTATTAAGCCTGATACGTGGAAATTCGATATCAACCAGAAGTGAGAGCATGTTCTAATTTAGAGGCTACAGAAAGGGCACCGAGAGAAATGAGTTGAAATACAGTAATCTTACACCTCTCTCTGCTCTTAAAAAAAAACCTCCTCGGTAGATTTAATACCTGATGGGAACATCTAGCTGAAGGGATTCTTATCTCGGACAACATGAACCACATAAGAAGTGTATTTCAGGTGACCTTTAGGATTATATAAGGCTCTTTAAGTACTTCTGTACTCTTGATGCTAGTTAGTGTAGCTCAAGTTTTCTATATGCATTCTGCCCTTAAGCTTGGCAGATTGAAGGGGAAATTTGATTTAATAGCCATGAGTTCTGCCTTAAAATTAATAATTCTGCCCCCTTCTCCATGCAGACATTTTTTTCTGATTCCGCCTTCCCAGCCTTGAGATAAGACCTGTTGACACCTCAGCTGAAAGCAGATGTCAAAAGCTGCTTTTGAAATGCTCATAGGTCTATGAGGCAGATTGATTTAAAATTGTGAAGTTACAAAAACCTGTTTTTTCAATATACAGTATATTGAAAAATGTAGAACTGAAATCAAGGGAAGCTGTGTTAAAAATGTATAACGTGCTAGTAAGGCCTCATTTAGAATACTCTATACAATGTACAAATTATACACATTACAGAATAATATGAACGTGTATACAGTATGTGACAGGAAAGACATTGCTGCTCTAGAATCAGACGAGAGAAGACCAACCAGATTAATTCCTGGAACTGTGCTACACTGACCGACTGGAAGGAAGAAACTGGATCTTTTTAGTTTTTTTTTTTGAAAACCTTACAACGGGACCTTATGCAAGTGTAAATGACTCGGAAGTACCTGATAAAAAAAAACAAACAAAAAACAAAATCAGGAGACCCTTCTTTACCCACAGGGGTGTGGGAGTGTGTAATGAGCTACTCTGCCATTATGGGGTAGCTGCTGCCCCGGCTTCTTTCAAGGAATAGCTGGACGAGATCCTTGGGTTGATTAGTTCCTGCCTATCAAATGGGACAGCTGGGCCGAATGGTTTCCTCTCTAATGTAACTGTGCTTACAAGGAACAGGCCACTGGCTTACAGGAAGCCTTTGGTCCAAATGTAGATTTGGAAGCTATAACTGCCGGCTGGATAGACCTTTTGGTTGAATCCGAGCCTGCCTCCAATGGGATATTCCGGAGTCTTGCTCAGATTGGATTATAATATTTTTTTAAGATACTTCTTTTAAATTTTTTTTTTTTGGCTACCCAAATTAAATACATTTTCCCACGCTGCTTTCTTTTTATTCAAGAGTCAGTACTGAAACCCTGCAACTCTACCTCCGGCATAAAGAAAAAAAATCAGTTTTCTGACAGTGCTTTGAATGCAAAACGCTGCTCTCATGTGCTAAAGACACCAGCATGACACTGTGTTGGCAGTGATTAATTGCTCTGTAGGGCCAAACAAATACTTTTAATTAAACCTTCCAATAATGTCAAGATTATGCTACAATGGAGTTGTCTTTGCTTCTCTCTATTTCTTGTGTTGTGCATCCTCATGTCCCAGTAGCTCGCTCTTTACTTGATCGATAGCAGCGCAAAATCAGAAGAAGCACAGCGTCCTCTCAGTATTGTCTTCACACTTCACCCTTGGCAAAGATTCTCTTGACAAAAACACAGGGCGGTTTGATATGGAACTTGATCGGAGGAGCAGGGCAGATGGAATCCAGCCTTTCTTCCTCTGTGCTCATCAGTGCAGCGTACACAGAATGAGCTCCGGCCTTTCCAGGCAAATACAGCCTCAGAGTTCCAAGGCAGGACCTGTCCAGCTCACAGAATTAACTGCCTCATTACAGCCTTATATACTGTAGGCAACTTCAATGACGGATCGGGAACACCTGGAGAAAGAGTGTTCCGATACCAAACTAGAGGAAATATGTTTAAACCAAATGGATGAACAAGCACAAACATTCAATAATTCAAAGAGCCTCAACTTGATATTTGCACCCATGTCAGAAGAGTTTCCAGGCAAAGAAAGGTGTTACAGCTTCAACAGTACGACTTCCACTTGTTTATTTTCTGGCCTGCAGCTCCTTCCATGAATATGAGAGTAAACTGATGACTTTTTTTCCCCCTATTTGTTTAAGGTTACCATCACAGCCTCCCCTCCTCTCCTTACTCCTCGGGGCCTGAAGGTCAAAGGTTACCACCCACGGGGACCCTGTCTTCGGAGTTCCTGAACCAGGGCAGCTCCACGAAGATCCTCCTTCTGGTCTGCAACACCGCAGGCACTGGGCAGCAGGCCGTCAGGTAACGGCAGACGGGTTGAGAAAGCACAGTCAAACATCAGGTGCTTTGACTCCTGAAAACTAGTATGCAAATTTAAAAAAAAAACATCCCGGCAGGAAAAAAAACAGCTTGCCAGACAAGATGAATTAGCATCACAAGGATGTTACTTTAGTTCTCAAGTTGTGACTGAGAGGAGTCTCTGAGTAACACAGTGAAGAGGAAGTCGAGCAAGGCTGAGCGAACACTATCTAAAATACAGAATAAAAAGACAACACAAAGTCTCAGGTTTTTTAAAATGATTTTCTGTTAGGTGCAGTCTCTGTATTCTGTTTCGGAACAGTTTGTTCTGGAATTTTCTCATCTTAGCTGGTCCTTTTGAAGGGACACACTGTCCATTTTAAATTACCTCCACTCTCACACACACGCGCGCACACTTTTCCCTGCTCCCGACAGCCTGTGAATCGTTCATCGATACCCTGGGCAGATTAAGAAATGCAATTCTCTTCTCATGTGGGCTTTGTGGCAGGCTTTTCACACAGTTAACACTCTACAGATGAACCTGAGACACTTCTAATCAAGGAAAAGGTGAAACTATTATCAGTTCCCTGGTTTGTAGCTTGGTTTTCTTGTCAGACACTGTGAGCTATGATGTCATTCAAATCTTTTGACTATATTGCCAGGCAAAAATCACAAGCTGTGCACTTGCCTTCCTCCTAATGTTTCAGAGTAAACAGACTGTATTATAATCATCAGCAAAGATGCAATGATTCAAGAAGGCCATCGACGCTATACTCCGGAGAGGGCAAAGGTCATGCTAAACTCACATACTAAGGTATGTGGGTATTTCAGACTGGATATTGAGGTAGTCATGTCTGGGACCTGTAAATCATTTAATCAGCTTGACTAGACCAGTGGACCGATATTTAAAATAAAATCTGACAAACTGTTGTCAAAGGTCTTTGACTTCACATCACAGGGTCTGTTTTTTTTTTACTCAGGCCATTAGTAAAAGTAATGAGAGGATCTCGGGCTGAAGTAATTGCGAAATTTGTTCTGCCTCAGTGTGAAATGAGTTTTACTTAAAAGCTTTCATTCTCTCTTAGCATAAGTTAGGAAACACTTAAAAACAGAGACCAAAGTTCTTGTGTTTACTAATAGCCTGACTGGCCAGCAGTAGGTATCCGAATCAAATGAACGAGACCAAAAATTGAGCGGTTGGACTTTGATTACCATTCATGCCTAATTATTGTGTGCTGGTGCTTTGTTGTACAGAAGTGGTCCTCTTCAGGGAAGTAAACGCTTTGGCTAAAAAGCCATTGTCCATAATTAAAAGGATTCAGGCTAGAAAGGTTTTACCCTCTTCCTTACTTTCTTTCAAAATGCAGAATAATAAAGATTCAACAAAACTTTAAATCATTTACTCAAGAACAGTAGAAAGATGAATATGAATGGTCCTTATTCTATTTGCATATAAAATCTCATAACATTTAACCTAACCTGTCACATTCTCTTCATGTCATTACAAAGGTTACAAATGATAGGAGGCTTTTTTCGCAATTAAGGTCCCTTGGCTGCTACAGTAGTAGCTTAGTGCTTTGGGGATCTCATCTAGCTGTGTCTTGAAAGTGTAAGGGTTTCAGTAACATAACTGGACAGCTTGCCCCAGACTCCCACAAGCCTTTGTGTAAAGAATTGCTTTCTCTTCTCAGTTTTAAACATACTTTTTCTGTAGTTTCCACTTTGGATCCTGTTTCATTGTTCATTTAAAAGCAGCTCATTGCCTTTACTTTGTCAATACCTGTTTTTACCTGTTACTGAGATTACTTGTTCACAGATCTTGAACTTGTTAGTAGAGCAGGACTTACCTTTTCTAAATCCATGATGACTATCCCCTAGAATCATGCTACCATGATACTCTAGTTTAGTTCTGGTTAACATTTCCACAGCCTTACCTGTGATAGGAGTAAGGATCCTTGTCTGCATATTACTTAGTTCAGTTTTGCCATCCTTTAATAATGTGCTACATTATTATTTTTCCAGTAAATGGATATGACTCTTGTCTTGAATGACTGTCAAAAGGATTTTTGAATGGTGTATAAATAGCCTCCCTTATTTCCTTTAGTATAATCGGTAGAATACTTTTAGCCCCTGGAGGTTTGTGAAATATAAGCTATTCAAATACCTGTAACACTTCTGCCTCTTTTGTGATAACGCTGTTTAATAAAGAACATTGTCTTTCCTCAGCCCAAGGCATCTTGCCAATTTCTTCCTTAATAAGTGAAATCATTTTTTGATACACAAGTCATTTCCCTTTCATGCACCAAAGTTTACCGTTACAATCTCTGAACATTTACTGTACTTTTGCTGTTGTAGCTTTAATTTTATTTGATCTCCTATTGCAATACAGAATTCTTTTTTTCTCTGTGTCTCTCTCTAACTTTCTCATTTCTTTTTGAACTCTTCTTGCAATTTACTGTAGTTTGTTTCTTAAGCTGGATGTTGCTCTTTTTTAATTATAGATTCAAGTGTTTTCCTTCGCCTTACATTTTCTTGATTTGATGTATTAAAACATTTTGGGCCACTGATCTGTAGTGCTGATGTACTTCCAGGGTTTGTTTTTCCAGCAGAATGTCTTTAAATCTGGCACATGTTCGATATCTGGTGCCATTTATCCTCTGCTGGTTCCACACCCATCCTGTTCAACTCTGCTCCTCTTAAACTAAGTGTCTTTTTAGTCTGTTTTCCTGAAATTGTAAATCTTTGTTTTGAACTCTGCCTTATAATGTAGCGTATTCTTGTCTCAGTTGCCATGCGGTTCTCTCACCCCTGTTTCCTGCCTCTGCCTCGGTTGTGTGACTCGACTGGGAGCCTGGAGGGTAAGTGGGTTTTCAGGGTCTCTTTAAAGCCCTACTGTAGCAGCTGAAGAGGGAGAAAAACCCTGTAACCAGCTGAGCTGAGGTGCAGTGAACATCTTCCAGGACCAGGACTGGTCACCTTGGACAAGATCAGTACAATCGATCTATAGATCCATGTTCTGACAGACAGAGTAAGAAAGCAATCGTTAGTTATATCTACCGCTTACCATTTCATTTTCATCTGCTGACATCTCCATGAGATTTTCCCTTTCTGCGTGCGGAAAGTTAAAATCCCCCATTGTGACAACTTCTTCTTCTGCACTTAATTACGTTCTTGATTTCATTATGCAGCATTGCATTATAATGAATATAACTATAATTAATTATTAATATCTGATGATAAAGTTAATATTCATTGAACATAACCCTTGGGGATTTACACAGAATGGTCCTCTTTTATGTACATGATATAACGGTATATATTGTATGATTTATTTTAGTATTTTTTGGCTTTTTTTCAGGCTGTATCATTTACATTTATTTTATTAAAAATCATCCACCTTGTCCTCCATATAAATTATAACATGATTAATGATTCGGCCAAATGAAAATGAAAACGACCACCTGAGCACTTTCTGAATGGCTGTTTTTTATTAACGTGGCCGTAATGCTTGCAGTGGAAGCCGAACTGTGTGCTGTAGTCAGAGGAATAGGGTTTGTTAATCTGCTTTACAGCAGACGCTGCAGGTTACTGTGTCAATTAGCCTGTGCAGACACATTGCAGTAAGGCCCGAGCGCTGTTAGGGGTGAGTTTTATATTCAGAGCAGCTTGTATTCGGAATCCAAATTTTTTCTATTTTGCCTCATTGGGAATTGCAGTAAGATTCTGGACTTTTTTTAATAACATCTCTGACAAAAATCTCAGGACGCCTCAAACAAACCTTCTTTCCATGTCAGTCAAATCCTATCCTTCAACTCACTTCTGTAAGAATGGTTCAGTGCAGGTATGATGTCTGTCTGAATCCAGTCAATTAAAAAAGTTATGCAAGAACTGTACTGCGAAAGCTCTGCAACACAATTTAAAGTTGCCCACTTCTTCATTTCCATATATCTTTCAAACTCCCTTCCACCTTTTTGTGAGGTCATCAGCTAGTGCTATTGCCACAGGTTTTAGTTCAACGGACATTTGTTTAATAATTTCATGCTGAAAAAATATCAACTTTGATCAACTTTAGCACTTGTCCTGTTTGTGTTTTGCTTTGAGTTTTTCGTAGCTACTGGGCTCTGTGTGTGACAGTACCTTTGCATTTTATAATATTTTCTAGGATCAAAATTCCAAGGAGACACAAAAGAGAGGTCTTTAGAAATTATGTGCATGATATTGGCAGCCTTTGATAACAAAACTTAAAGTAATTCCATATGAACACAGAGCACTTTCTCTTTTTATAAATCTTTCACAAATCCTATGATGCTCCCAAAAATCCCTTCTGGGTATTGAATTATTCAATATTTATTTCATTTTAGGTTCAGACAAAAAAGCCTTTTTAAATGAGGCTTCCGTGAAGGGACTCTGTGTCTTCTGCTTCCGAAGAATGAACAGGAAAAAATTGTTATTTCGCTCACAGTCATAATTGTTAACCTGTGCTTGACAGTCAGAATGTGAATCACAGCTCAACCTCAAATCACCCAAGAAAATGATCATGTGAGCAGCTCCCTTCAGGCAGGTGCTGATTACAGTACATATTGCAAGGAGCTGATGAAGGCCCGTTTTCTCGGAGGGCCTATGGTTAGGATGACATTTCTGTACCTACAGAAGGAAATACGGTGGTAGTTGTTTTTTTTTCAGGAGAGATTGCTGTATCTTCTGCTGCTGTTACAGTAAATGTCAGCAGGTTGTGACCTAGTCCAAATATGTGGTTTCGTAAATAATACTTCATATCATTCCTTGCATTTGAATAGGACTTTTGCTCCCTGGGGAGCCTGAAGCACTATTGGATATAGGAGTGATCATCCCCGGAAGTGCAGCTTTTGTGGGTGACCCCAAAAGCCCCACTTCATAGCGGATCGGGAGAACTGAGACATTTCTTCGCCCCCTTGAATGAAGGGGGAAGGTTATGGGCTGCAAGAGTATACAGGTGAAGAGATAAATTAAGCATCTCCTACAGTGAAGTGTCCCTCATAAACACACCGTGGGCTATTGGCTTTGGTTGGGATTTGTGGACCAGAAGGGAGAGCGCCTCCTACTGGTGCATCAGTGTCACCTACAGTAGAAATGTAGTTTCCTTTGGAGGATCTCCAACCCCTGAACTGACCGTGACCTGCTTGAATCTATGTAGATAAATGATTTGATTCTGGTCCCCTAGAGACAGGAAACTGAAGATTACCTTTAATTATAGTAGTGCTTGTCTTGGCAAATCCGCATGGTATGCAAACCATGAAAAAATATTTGATTCTATAGTTCCTTAAATATCAGCTTGGTCGCTCATTTATAAAATCAGGCACGTGTATTCCCACATTCAGCCTTATGGTGCTGTACGTTTCTTCACTGAATTTAAAGGCTAGTAGAAAAACACAGGTGTGTTCTTCAGCGATATCGTGTCTTTGCGGAAGATGTCTTCGGTTATTGGTTCAGAGCCTCTTTTTGGTGGCACATTGTTTCTCTCATTTTCTATCAATTTCGGTTGATGGCAGGGCTCGCATTGCTTTGTGCCCACACATCACTACTGTAGGTACAGAGAGATGCTCATGCTTGGGCTTTTAATTACCCTGACATCTACCAAATGTATGCCAGGCTGTGGAGCACTTAAATGTATGGAAGAGATCAAAAGCTGCTGTCTACCTGAGGATCTGACAGGAAACAGCGTAAGGATCTGTCGTCAGCTCTGTTCCTCCAACCTCCTCCACTTGTGCGGTCATTCACATCATCCAGAGCCTGGACATGACATGTCTCTCACCTGATACTGTACTTGTTCAAACACTTTGTGATGTCCTTTCATCGCCTTCCTGTCGTTTCTCGATCAGGTCGGTCGTCACCCTGTTTTTGTGTTGTTGAGCTGGAAGATGTGCTTCCTGTCATTGCTGCTGCTGCTGTGATTAAAGAAATCAGCAGCACCTCTGTATTATTAGACTCCGCTGTGGTACAGAGATACACTGCCTGCTTAAGACTCCTGCCCTTTAGTTTAGTGCAATGCTCAGTTGTGAGGGATGCAAAGTGACACCAAAGTGATACAGCGGCATGTTACTAAGTGACCCGCAGTGCACAAGAAACTTGCTCTGATGCCACAGACATCAGTATTACACTTGTACATAATCATTACGTGACAACATGCACACAAACATATTGCACACACAAGCACTATGCTCATGCATATTGCAAAGGCTATTTCAAGGAGAATTCCAAAAGCTCTAACCATAACAAAGCTCATATGGCTGTAAAATAAAAGCTGTTTCTAAATTGGCTGGCTATTGCTTGCATAGAGTTCTAGACCTATCTAAATTTCAAGCAGGGTGAAAACTGACCAGTAGCAACTGTGAGACTTGACTTTGCTGCTACAGTCCCTGCAGTAGTTCTACTTCTGTTCTGTACAACTGAAGAGAATGTGGTTACAGAACACAGTCTTAAAGGAAGCAGGCTCCCATTGTTTCATAAATTTCAACAATTTATTTAGCACAAACTAGCTTCAATGAAAGGAGTAGGAAAAGACCCACCAGGTTTACAAGGCTGTAGTATTTTGTATCGATTTGCTCACTATTTGTATTTGAAAGTACCTCCAATTGCCTTGACGGAGATTGTCGAGGTTCATTGGCACCATTTTCCTGTGGTATACCATGGTAAAAGCATGGTAATGTTCCAATAAAGCATGGCAAAACAGGATTGTTAAAGCCCAGTAATTGAATGGTCAAAGCATGGGAACACATGCACAGATTCTCATTTCTTATGGTGAATTTTCATAAAGGTTCAGCTAGACCTTTACAACACATTCTAGTTTCTTAAAAAGAACATTTGCTACAGTAGTCGTTTAGCAGGAATCTTGAATCTTTATAGAGCATATGGGAACTTTGAGGTCATACTGTATCAGCTGCTGTTTTCGTAGCAGGACTAGACCAGCATTCCTAGGTAAACTGTTTTCTTTCTGAGCCCAGTCAAGAGTTATGAGATGGTAGTGGTGTCAGTGGTTTAATTCAGGAGTAAAGAATGAATCTTACGCTGACTGACCATGAGAGACCGAACCTCCGTGCTCTCTCACAAATGCGTAGCTCTGATCAGTAGGCAGGTTGTTTACTGGTTGGCCATTCTCCCAAGAAGACAACCAGAAACTTTTGTTTTTATGTTTTTATGTTTTTATGTTTTTATGTTTTTATGTTTTTATGTTTTTATGTTTTTATGTTTTTACTCCTTTATTGCTCTGATAGCTGTTTGAGCCCTCTGACTTTCACTCCAGGTCAACCGGTATTTGGAATGTGTTGTATGTGTGTTTGTAGGGAAGCCCACAAAAGATAAAAACGCAGGAGCTGGGGAATACTGCTCTCTCTCACAGTCCACAGCACACTTACCAATGTTTGGCCTTGTGTTTGCGTCTCCTTCACATTGCAGGTTTTACATCTTTTCGTGTGCCATTGGAATGGGGGGGGGGAAAGGATTTTGGACTCAAGAAATGCAGTTTTGAATCGGTTCTTTATCAACTCTATACCGGCCATAAGCTCCTCTAGACATTTACACACCTCAGCACTCTACAAGACAGGCTGTCCCAGCCTGTGGAATAAGAGAATGCCAAGACCTGCCAAAAGCCCACAAATAAAGCTCTCCCAGCCAGTCTGAAAGTGTGTGTGAGGTGGGTGGATCGCAGTAATAAATGAGAGATGGTCAGTCAGGAATCCACTCAAACAAGCATTGAAACTAAGGTGTAGATATTTAAGAATCATGGATGAACCTCCTTGCCATGGATTGCTTAATACCATTTGAGACCGGGAACAACTTTGTTAAATGATGGCTCTCCTGCCCATTGAAAGTGAAAGCTTGTTATAAATAAACATGCTGTCTGCATGTGAACAAGGAAATAGTTGAGTTATTAGATTGATTACAGTAAATATAGTTTATAGTGATTGTTGAATACTGGTCTAGTCCTGCTTTTGAATCAGATAGCCTGTGAGCTGCCCTCTTTTATATTGATAAATGAGCTGACAGCTGAAGGAGACTGAACCCCAACTTATTTCTTCTCTGGTCTCTGGAGTGTTCCTGCGCCACCTTCTAGCACCTTGACCCTGGACCTGCATTACAGTCCCTTGTGAAAAGCAATAGTGGCCTGATAATGAATAGGATTTAATCCCAAATCAAGTCAGCTACAGTTTATTTTTTAATAGGTTATTGGCTGACCCATGAACCAGCCCTAAAGCATGGAGAGACAGGTTCAGAGCACATCTGGGGTATTTGTCTCTCGGAGTTCAGTTGTGTAGAAAACTATTTGTGTGCACAAGGGTCCATCTTAATATGTTGCTTGTCTCTCGCTTGCTTGCTTTCTGCCTCTCGTTCCGCGGTGTTTGTCTGAGGCTGTGAGAGCATGGATGTGTAGAGATGCTTGCGAGTGTGTTCTGGTATGTCAGGGGGGGGGCGTTGCTCTGTGGAGCTGAAAGAACGCTGTTCAAACACAACAAATAAATAAGGGCTCTGAGTGGGATTAGCGTTCCAGCTGTGTGAGATCTTCTTCATACAGATGATAGTAAAAGAGACAGTTCCTCTGGCACTCTATTTTGAAGCGTACTTTCGTAAGTTTTTAAAACCACTTCCAGCTGAAACGTGCTGTGTAGTACCCATAGGGCAGCAGGCTGAGCTTATTGCCATAGATGATCAGGTTAAGAAAAAAGTCACTTGTGATGTAGACTTCAGTATCATGCTTGTTAGTTGACTTAAAAGAATCATCTTCTGTTGCCCTTTTAAGTGTTTCATTTATTTCCAGGTTTGGGCCTCCTTTCCTCATGAGGGAAGACAGAACTGTGTCTTGGGACCAATTACAACAGAGCATCCTCAGCAGATTATACTACCTGATGATCAATGGCGCACAGACGCAGGTAAATCGTCCGACCCCCTCATGTAAGTTGCAATTCCCCGGCTGAGACATGCCTTCTCACTCGGGGACTTGCCCACTGAAACCAGGATCACAGCGGACCCCAGAGTGACCAGTCTCTATGACCATTTCCAAAGCGTGTCTGGAACTGCCCTGCTGTGCTGCTTAATTGGCTCAGCAATGAAGAAAAGCACAAAAGCAGATTATTTTAATCAGAAATAAGGAATTAGAATGAGGAGTTTTTGTCTGTAGGGAAGTGCTGGTGAGGATGAAATAGTCCAGCATTCACTATTCTGTATTAACTGGAATTCATTCAAATAAACTGGGCAGTAGTGAAGTCCTTTGTGTTATATTGTGGCTTTTATAAAGGTACCTCAAACCACTGTACATGAAAAATACAAAAGTATGACAAATTCACGCACATGTAAAAGCCAGGTGTACAACACAACGAGCAGCAGTAGAAGCAGAAAAATAAATGTTTAGTGCTGAGAGACTAATTATGGTTTAAGTTCATGGATGAGTTCAAAAGTAGGGAGAGATTTCCAAAATCTCAGACCGTAGAAATCCAATGCGTAATCCACTGCAGTCTCATGTGGGGACACACAACAAACAGAGTATACTGTCTGAACATCCTGCGCTGGAGAGGTACTGTACACCATTGAAGGGTTTGATTGAAAACAATATTGTTTGAAAATTGACACAATTTTTGCCAGGTACCCAAGGTCAGAAATTCAGGAAGGACATTTTTGTTATTATGGCTGGAGAACGTTATTGCCTGACTTAAGCTAAAACAAAATAAAATCTTGGTTTTCAATGCATCAAACCACGTCCTGCCCCAGACGTATCAATGATCTATTTTTGAGAAAGCAACAGCGCACACAATTACCAAGCTCGCTGATTAATAACACATCACACTGACTCGCAATTAAGCTGCAAAAGTAAAATGTCAATTTGTTTTGTTAGAAAAAAGTTCCATGGCTGTTTGATTCTAAATTCCACTTAGGCTTCTATTGACTTTGTTAATTTGTTGCTGGCAAAGGTAGCATAGAAATAGAAAATTAAAATTAGAGGGAAGCCTCGTACAATGTGTGGTAATCATTCTAGTTTCTCAGCTTTGGAAAGAATAAAGAAGATTTAGACAGATAACTTGCATGTAATCTGGTTCTTAGAGAAGGAAAATGGAGCCCGAGAGAGAGACAAAGTGAAGGAAAAACCTGTGGGACGAACGATGAATGTTAAGTGTTGCATTACTCTTTGTGTTAGATTTTTGTCCACCCTCTATACGATTTGGCAATTTAATTAAGTTGTAGCTTATTAAATCATAATCAGGAGCCGTCAGGGACAAAGAAGAAATTAATGCTCACAATTGAAATTGATGTCACTGTGAACCATTTTTTTTTCCAAAAGCAGCTCTGTCTGTAGATGACTCATGATTCAGAGCTAACCTTCAGCAGTTACACTAAGAGAAAAACACTTTGATTAATCAATTAAATACAGATTTAAATCCGACGTTAACTGAAGAAAGGGCTTTAGCTTAGGATGACACTGTTTCATATCTATAAATAAGTACGATATTTATAGATCATGTTTACATATTGACATGAAAAATACATACTTGGCAAAGGTTCATCTCGTATCGCTATTCTCCACATGTTATCTCCTCTACAGTCTGCACCTGTGACCTCCCCAGTAGTTACCGTCAGTTAAGTTACTGCACTGCTCGACTTAAGCAGTGGAGGCTTTTGATGACCGAAACAGCAGTTTCCCTGCCGTCTTGTGCTGCAAGCTCACAGATTTCGGAAAACCTGCGGATCTTAGCCTTCCTGTTCATGACAGCTTCATGGCAGGGGCCAGATGCCCCAGGGGGGTGAAGACAGGCCAGCGCGCGGGGTCTGAGAGAAGGCTGGTACACACAGACACTTCAGCACTCCTTAGTCTCAGTGCCGATTGTTCCTGTCCTGAAGTTACTTATCTTTTCCCAGTCCTTAGATCTGAAACAACAGAGATCGGTTTGCACAGAGGGCTGTGTAGATTGGTGGGGTACATGGGTAGATTGGTGGGGTGCACGGGCAGATTAGTGGGGTACACGGGCAGATTAGTAGGGTACGTGTGGGGGCCATTGGATGGAAAGCTTTGAGAAACACTGCCTTTAACTACCGGGAATTTCTGGAGCCCTGGCACTTTAAAAATAAAACATTTTAGATTGAAAAATCCCTCCTGCTTTTCCTCCTGTTTCGCAAGATTCTTCACTTCCAGTCTTGCACCTCAGAAACGGAGACAGCTTTGACCCAGAGCTCCTCAGCTCCTCTGCTGCTCGCTCGTTCGTTTGCTGTAGAACATAATTAATTGCGCAGTCACACGTTAGCGCTGCTCTGGTCGTGCTTTACAGATGTTACTTGCAGTAGAAAGGGAAAGGGACAGATTCGGCCCAGGGATCTTCTGTGGGGAGCGGACCACGCTGAGACTCAGGTCAGCCAGGAGGCTGGAGGAGCTGGCTGGGGAGGGAGGGGGGCTCTTGTCTTAGGTTAGGAAAAAGCAGCTAAAATACACCGAGCATTTCAAACGCTTACAACTCTGTCTTATTAACGAGAGGACTTTTTTGGCAAAGAAACCACTTCCTTTCTGGTTTTGCTGGATTGCTGCAGCACAGCTACCTACTGTATCTTGTAGCCTGATCTCATCGGCTCTCAGAAGCTCAGTCTCTTCAGTCTGTGCATATTTACCCAGAAGAAGGTGAAGAGCTGGATCAGACTCTGACAGTACAAGACTCGTGTTTTCTTCCAAGAAGAATTCAGTTTTTTACAGTCATTACTATCTGCATAGCTAAGTCTGGCCTGAGATAAATTTCAGTTTCAGCCTCCAAGAGTGAGGGTTTTCAGATGATGCCAAGCGATTTAACCACTAACTTCCTCAACTCTTCTGTTTTGTATTTGTGCGACACTTGTCGTAACTGTGTACAACAGGTGGCTGTCCATCCTTTTGTCATTGTGAAAGCAATGCCGATAATGTCCTATTAATCCAAGAGGCGTGTTAAACGTCTCAGTTCTTGGTGTTGATGCATTAGGCTCTTGTTCACACTAAACTCCTTATTGTTGCATGTTGCTCTTGAGCACTGACAGTGCTTACGAGGTGCTGTTAAAGCTGATTTGAATTCAACACTGTGGTGGCATGCAGGGGGCCCAGGGCTAGGAGTTTGCAGTCTTTTAATAACTTCCAACATGTGCCTGAAACCATCCTCTTTTGTTCTCGGCTGTTTGTGTTGCTTGTAGGTACCTCAAGTGTTAAAGCTGTTCCTGAAGTGCTTAGGACGCACTGTTTAAAATCCAATTCAAATTGTCTTTAATTAAAATTTGTAGACATTCAATTAACTTCAGGGACTGGTGTTCTGTTCTAATTGACAGTGGTGTATTTATAGGAGCCTGAAAGCATGGGCTGAGCAAACCCATCCTGACAAGACAGATAATGTAGCTGCCAGTGCAGAGATAAGAGCTCATGGTCTCTCTCTGGGTAATTATCTTAAGGTAGAATGAGTTGTAAGTGATATTAGATGGATAGCTGCCTTCCATATGCTTTCTGACAGCACACTGAGATAAGGAATATCCAATACATTGTCCTGTGCTTTAGCAACACAGAGCTGGGCGAATAATTGAACTCAACCCTGCAAGCTCATGACATAGTACATAGTCTACAGACAGTGCTCAATCCATGCTTGAGCCCCTGGAAGCTGATGTCATCCCCTGTGAACCTCAGTAGCTCCTTGAATTCTGCTATGACAGTGCTGGCCTTCTGGCCTAGTGGAAATCATCTCTGCCTGAGGAAGTACTGTGTAGCTCAGGATTAGGAGGTGCCTGAGAGACAGAAATCAAATGCTGGCAGGGGAACAGGGATTCAGATGTTAAGGGTTGGACACTTACAGTTGTCATCCTCCAACAGAGTTTTAACTGGTACTGCTCACAGCATCTGGGAGTTAGCTGTTCTTGAGATCGTCAGATGAAAACATGAAATTCATTCTTATCAGTTTCATAAAAGCATGGTGTCTTAATGCATGGCAAAAGGCTTATTCCAATGAAAAACTCAGAGCTGCTATTTAACAGAAATGTAGTCCGTGATCCACTGTGGGCAAGTCAGCCACAAAGAGTGACTGCTCAGGACTCTGTGTTCCTGTGCACCTACAGTTCAGTTATAGCAGTGTCTGGCTGAGGACTGAGGACAGGTCTGTGATCTTGATAGTTGTCTGAGAGCTGGCAAATAAAAGGTTTCAGACTTGATCACTTTGGTTCTCCAGTCCACGATGCTTCCAGACATTGTGTTGTCCCTGGACAGCATTGGAAATGGAGAGGCTCCACACAAGATGATGGATATTTCATTTTTTTTACTATTTCTTTTACGAACGTTCCACCCCATAAACAAAGGCTGAAGTATAGAGCCCTGGTTATGAAATCAAAGCCACTTTCACAAGTCATCACTTCAATAGGACAGGAATCCTTGATTACCCCTGTGTCAACTGTGTATTTCATGTTCTAGTATTTAAGACAGTGCTTACTTTTTCACCTGTGCTGTCAGCTCTGTGATGGACAGGGTTCTGCCTGGGGAACAATCGGGCTGTGATCATGTATTCTGTAGTTTGCGCCACAGGGGAAGCCGATGATTTGACATGTGACATCACCCCAGAATCTCTCTGGTGGAATTCTGCTTCACTTGGCCACCCTGTCTGTTGAAGGGGTGAGATTTGTGCATTAGATAAGGTGAGCTGAGGTCATCGGTTCACTTCCCAGGTGGAAGGACACTTATGTGGCCAGCAAATGCATCAAGAGATCAGTCCAGCTGGAAAATCCTGTCATCAGGCTGTCACCTTCTGACAAGAAATTAGTGTAAACTCTTTGTCAACAGGCTGGTGTGCAGCGTTCAGCACATTGCTGGAAATAGTGCTATGAAGGAATAGGTTCCTATACTCACAGGGGCGAGTTGAGTTTTATGTGTTTAAGGGTTCTGTCATGCTTCTTA